CGGCGAATAAGGAGGGGGCGGGATGACGGCCATTGTGTTTGAGGCCAAAAACTGCCGAACTTTGAGGGCGGTGTGTGCTGGCGCGTTGTCATGATGCGTCGCATGTGGAGTTCTTCCTTTAGAATCAGCTGACAGGTCCCAACAATGTCGCACAAGTCGTTGATGGTACGACGATGGTCGATCTTCGTGAATGGCCTGCCGACTCTTCGTAACATTTTCGGGCGTTGTGCTCGAAGATGGTCGTCCAGCACGCTCGTCATCATCGACAGAGGTTCGGCCATTTTTAAAACGTGAATGCCACACAAAAGTTTGTGCACGACCCATTGCGGACTCCCCAAATGCTTGCTTTAGCATTCCATAGGTTTCCGTAGCCGTTTTGGCGAGTCTTTGGCAAAATTTGATGCACACTCTTTGTTCATGAAAATCCGCAATCGCAGTAGGGTCGGTGTAATACACTACCAGAAAGCCCGTAACTAAGAAACAAATGCTAATTCGATGATGTCAGTTGGCACACTGATTCACTATGAATGTAGGCCCAACCCCTTAAAGGCAGAAGCTCGTACTACATCCGGTTCGCCCTATATTGACACAGTCTTGAAACTTTCTGATCGCACATCGTATTTATAATGTTTTATCGACCAACTCTGCATACAACTACATTAAATTCTTGTGTACAAACAGGTTATTGTAAATCGTACCATAGATATTTTAGTAAATTTTGGTTACGTTTACAAAGTGGCAATCGAATTTTTAAATGAGTGTAGCCAGTCATGCAGACAGTAGCATTTAGTAACTCTGAAAATGTTCAAATTAATGTAATTATGAATTTGCTATTACGTGTTTTGCGTTCCATGAGCTATGTATGTGATTTTGTTGATGAAGTTTAAAATGTTCCAGATGTTTCTGGATTTACTTTTACAGCCATTATTTAACCGTGAAATACCTTGTGCCCTTGTTGTGTATGATATGTCAAGATTGATAACATGGGTTCATTCCATGCAAAATCAACACAGCAGTTGGCATGACTGTCTTAGATTTCAATGATATATTATAAGCCTACGGAGTGTGATGAGTAAGAGACTTTTCCTTCATTTGTTGAATTAATTTCTGAGTCATTAATAAATTTCCTCGAATTCTGATTCATATAAGAGCTAAAGTCCTGTTTAACACAGCTCATTCTTTTATCAATTGAAAACTTGCGAGTGGGACTATCATTTGGTGTGCACTTTCAATATTTCAAGGCACATAACTACCTGACTTTGACCTTAATTGTGAAAAAATATGATCAGATTTTTTTTCATAAACAATATGCAAGTCTGTAAATACATTGTTGGAAAATTTCTTGTTGGGTCATAAATCAGGATATCATGTATGTAACATACTCAAACTTTTTTCTTTGTGCCTGATTATATTCCAGCATGCCATTTTCCATAAAGTAACTTAAATATTCACAAAATATGGAAAATGATTCTGATCGTGTTTCTTTGTATGTTGAGGTTAAACAGTGACCGAGGCCAATTACATCAGGTGTAAAATGACATATTGAATAAAATTCGACTATAAAGCTTGAAATTGGAACTAGAATGAGCTTCGTTTCTTGAATAATGCTGGAGTTTTACTTTTTTAAAATTCCAGACATTAACCCTCCAGGACTCACGTTGTGAGCGCAGCGCCGCATTTTCAGTAAAAGTCTGATAACTCTTTCTAGGAATTGTTTTCTTTCCTGTCGCTCCATCTATGTTAAGAGGAAACCACTTTCCATGGAAATTTCAAAGGAAAAATTTCTAGCTACGATTATAGACCCACTTTGTTCAGTTTACTTTTAGAATTCTGATAGTGCGGCGGCCCGCTCACACGCGAGTGTTTGTGTTCCAAAGTGACTTTTTTTAAGTTTGGGTTAATTTCTTCTTTATTGTTCACGTTTACCAATAATGGCTTCTAAAACAAGTTCATCTGATCCAAATGTTTGGTTGAAGTGGTTATTAGAACAAAAAGAACGTGAAAGAGAACAAGTGAGTGCAGAAGAAATTACAGATTGTGAATTCGACGATACTCAGGATTCTGATGAGGAACCACGAGAGGAGAATCACAATAGTCAATCCGAAAACTCGTCTGAACGTTTAGATGAAGATTCCAATGCAGGAGTAAGTAAATTTTATCTTGGCATAGATAAAATGACTAAATTTCGAACCTTTCCCCTTCGAAGAAGTAAAAAGGCGCCAATGAAAAACTTTATCTCTCACCTTCCTGGGGTCAAAGATACGCAAAAAACTGCAAAACTGAGATCGAGTGCTCGCAGCTATTTTTTCCAGATAATTTACTGGGTGATATCACAAAATTCA